CCCAAAGTGCTGGGATTACAGGCATGAGCCACCATGCCCAGCCATAGCTTTTATTTTCTAGAGGCTATTTATATGGAACTCTGATATTTATATTCATATCAATGTTAACATAGTGAGGTTAGTATCAAGTACTTTCTATATGCCAGGCCCCATACTGAGTCTTTGTATACAGTTTATCTCATTGAATCATCATATTAACCCTGAGAGGTGATGTGCCAGTGACCCCGAGACAAGTGGGTCAGCGGGCTTGGGAGTGTTTTTTAGCCATTTGACATCTGACAATGTTTTCTTCCTCTATCTGTGAGCATGCAGACGTCTAGCACATTTGTCACTGAGAAAACATGGTAGAGCAAAGTTTATGACATGAATTTGCGAGAGAATTTATGACAATTGAAGAATGTAAAAGATACTCCCTTTATTTTCTCTCTATATTTTAACATGTCATAAAAATTCTTGTAAACTTGCTTCTTAGCCCCAGATGAGAAAGGAAAACGAATATTGCTGTTAATAATTTCAGGCATACCCAAAGGAGTTAGGCCCCCAAGAAAGAGAGGTTGTGGTATGGAGGCTGAAGCAACTCCGTCTTGGATACTAATCTGCCACATTAGCTTCTGATTAGCCCCAGTTCTGGGAAGGCCTCAAGATTTCCAGCTTATCTATTCTTCCTTGTGTAAGAGCATGTACTCACTATAAATCCTGCCATTAGGGCAAATTCCTACCCATTAGCTCTGATGCATTGCGCCCCTCCCCTACGGTATATAATCCCTGGGTCCACAGAGAACTAGCACAAGGATCCACCATCTTCTCTCACCATTGCCCAAAATGCAGACATGGCTTCCATTAGTAAGTCCCTATTAAATGTTCTTTGTAAGGAACTGGATATGTCAGCCTCTTTCTTAGGCTTCTCAGCTTCCTCAGACTTTGGGGGCAGGTTTGTGTGAACCTGCCCACTGAGAAACACATTGATAGAAGATAGTTTTTTTTTTTCTTTATTCTTACCCATTCTAAGAACTGGGGTGAGGGAAGAGTGTGATGGCAAGTTTTTGCTTAGACCTTTGAGAGAAGAGGGGCTGCATGCTCTGAGGATTGTGAAACCAGCTTAGGTAGTATCTGAAAGTGAATGTTATATTGTGTAAAAATAAAGGACCTTTGTTGAAAATTCCTTTTGACTGATATCTATAGCTTTGAGATCTAAATCTCTTTTTCTTTTGAGATGGAGTCTTGCTTTGTTGCCCACACTGGAGTGCAGTGGCACAATCTCGGCTCACTGCAACCTCTGACTCCCAGGTTTAAGCGATTCTCCTGCCTTAGCCTCCTGAGTAGCTGGGATTACAGGCACCTGCTACCACACCTGGCTAATTTTTGTAGTTTTATAAAGTTGGGGTTTCACCATGTTGGCCAGGCTGGTTTTGAACTCCTGACCTCAATCCACCTGCCCCTGCCTCCCAAAGTGCTGGGATTACAGGCCTGAGCCACTGCACCCAGCCTTAACTCTTTTACTCATTGCCTGATTTTTAAAAATTGTTACTTCATTTTGGTTACTGACAATTAGAAAGAAGTCTACACAAACTTACTTAAAAAATCCCACTGAAACAGGGAGCTATTTTATTCCCAATTTATATTTGAGGTTAAGTTACTCTCTTAAGTTACATAATAGCTAATACATAACTGAGTCAGGATTTAATGTAAGTCTGTCTGACTAGAAATATCTAATCAATTGCTATCTTTCCAAGAACTTAATACTTTAATTTAATTTGGCTCTTAGTACACAACTGGCCAAGGTACAGATCTTCAAAGGTCTCCTATTACCATGATTTAAAACACTGTGAAAGAATGGCTAATTCAATTAACATCTATTATTTTTTCATTTAGAAAAATTATGTCATGAGTCATGCTTGAGAGCTGGTTGTTTTTTGACAAAACTGGCCTGAGTTCATATCAAATAGAAAAAGCTTACGTGGGACAAAAATATTGTTTTCACTTCAAAATTAACCATATGAATTAATCTAGTTTTAAAAGCAGTTCTCAAGAATCACTTAAGCTTACTTTCCTTAAAAGTGGTAGGGAAAGGAGAAGAATAATGCTATATTTTTCAATTAAAATTGATAGCAAAATTAATTGTTGCTTGAATCAATTATATATACATGCAAATGACATTGAAATTACAGCCTAGACCAGTGAGCCAACAATAAAAAAGGATAACGTCAATTTACCTGCATCCATATCGGCAGTCAAAATTTCTGTTTCTTCTATGATAAACAAAAGATTGCAATGTTTAGTTGTTAATTATAGTCAAAATTAAATCATTAAAATCATTTAAACACTGATAATAATTTTCTGCCTTAAAACTTGTCCTCCTTTTATAAGGGACTGTACAAAATCCCCAAGACATGCCATCTTATTTCCTTTCTATAATTAGGTAATTGTAAAGACTCAAGATACACTGTATGGAATCTCTTGCTGGCACAAACTGGAGACATCTGTTGGTACTAGTGAATGTTGAGTGAGACTCATGGTGTCACAGTTTTCTGTAGTTAGAGCAGGCAAAATGCATAGCCCAGAGAAGAAAGGCTTCTCTTTCAATGCTTTGCATCCCCAAGGTGTTTACATAAGGTAGGGAGCAGTCATCAGCACTGATCAAGGGAGTCCTGAGCTGACATGAAAAAGGCTCTCTCAGTGTGTACAGGCATGGGTTAGCATTAGGCATTTGGGATGCAGAAGTCAAAAGAAAAAAGTAATCTTTTCTTCTTTCGATTTTTTTCTTGAAGTTATACTGGATGTTTTCACCTTTGCTCTGCCATTCTAGAACATTTCTGTGGACAGAATCATGATTTCCTTGACCTGAGGATCTAAAGGTGAATTCCCACCATGTTGCTCTGTCATGGATGAGGATATGGCTGAGGATAGCATTGCCCAGAACGGCGGCGTCACTTTGCTGCAATCCTGCGTCCCATCACTGAATTTGCCAAATTCTCTTTGGGATAGCCGTATGAGTGTTTGTTATGCCACACACCTAAGTTGTTTACTGGGGCAGAGAGAGGCTTTGCTCAGATGCATTCACAAAAGCGCCTTTCTGAATCAAATTTGAGTCTTCTTGAGAGAAGACTCAAATATTTACATTCAAAGCCCAACAAAGGAGGAAGGGAAAGTCCAGTGTAGCTGAGGTGTACTGGGTATTAGAAGAACAGGACAAATTTAATTTTATATAATCAAAGCTAAGGTGTACTAGGTATTAGAAGAATAGCTAGTACACATTGGATTATATAAAAATTAAGGATTTCTATTCAACAAATCTCACATGAATAGAGTTAACAGATGAGTGACGGAATGGAAGGAGGTATCTGTAATGTCTAAAACTGTTAATGGATTAATTTCTAGACCGTAAAAGAAACCCCTGAAAATCAATAAGAAAGATTACAATGAAAGAAATATAAAATTAAGCAAAGGATGTGAACCAGTGAAAAGATAGAAGAAAAAAAAGGAAGATGAAGTTAAAAAGCTAGTATGCTCATGCAGGGAAACTCAGAATCTTTGGTTAATATAAAAATTCAAGTTAATAAACAGTGCCATCACTTGACAGCTGGAGAAACGTGCTTGATGTTGGTGGGGTTGGAGAGAACTCTTAGGCTATTGGTGGAAGTAAGGACTGGTATATAACAGCACTGCCAAAGAACATACTGGCACTAGCAGTCAAATTAAGTATGCATACTCCAAGACTCAACTTGCTACTATGGTTTGAACGTGTCCTCAAAAGTTCATGTGTTGGAAACTTAATCCCCAACACAACAGTGATGGGAAGTGGGGCCTAATAAGGAGGAATTAGGTCATGAGGGCTCTTCCCTCATGAATAGATCAATGCCATTATCTCAAAAGTGGGTTAGCTGTAGTGAGAGTGGGCTTGTTATAAAAGTGAGTTCAGACTCTTCTTGCTCCCTTGCTGTCTTGCCTTTCCACCTTCTGCCATGGGATGCTGCAGCAAGAAGGCCCTTGACAGATGCACGCCCCGTGACCTTGGACCTCACAACCTCCAGAACTGTAAGAAATACATTTATTTTCTTCATAAATTTTCCAGTCTGTGGTATTCTGTTATAGCAACACAAAACAAAAGAAGACACTTGCCCAGCTAGATGCCTCCAAGAAATCCTCCCACACATACTTAAGGAGAGGATACATCATAGAGTGATTGTGGACTAAAAGTCCATTACTGCAAAAGTGGAGAGTAAATTGTGCAAGATAAACACAGTGGAGTATTTTATACAGCAGTTAGAAGCAACAGATTAGATGAGCATAGAATAACATGGACAGGTCTTTAAAACGTAATGAGTTGTGAAAAGAGGAAAAATAAATATAGATCTATAACACCATACTATGTGAATAAAAAACATATGCTTGCAAAGTAACAATACACATTGGATAAGAACGCATACAAACAAAAAGACACGCACATTAAATCACTTAAAAACGGTTGCCTATTGGGGGAGAGGAAGGGGAGTGAGCTTTAGTGATAAAGACAGATAAATGAGTCAAACAAGACAGGGGCCTTGCTGGACCCCTGATGACCATGTATAAAGAAAGCTGAGGAGTATCATTAACTCATCACGTTGCCCCTGAGATCTGAAACTAGGGAGGAAGGAGGAAGGAAAAGAGGGAGGGAAAGAGAGAGGGAGGGAGGAAAAAAAGGAATAGAGAAGAAGAAGGAGGAGGAGGAAGAGGAGGGAAGAGAAGGAAGAAGAAGGAGAAAAGAAGAGAAAAGAGGAAGAAGGAGAAGGAGGAAGAACAGCAGCTTCAGAGGGCAAAATGACAAGTGAGAGGGAATACAATGAAAAATTAGGCATTTAGAGCAAAGGGTGGTCTTGAGCTAGCAAGTCCCTCAGGAATCCTAAGAAATCCTGAGGAGGATCATGAAATTTGACATTATATGAACTGGGGATGTGAGTCATTTTACATGAATTTTTTTTTTTTTTTTTTGCGGGGTTCAAGTCCCAGGAAGAAGACTGAGGAACAGTCCTAAGCCCTCCCCAGAGATGCTTTATTACACGGTTTCATCAGTCATCGGTGATGGGTTCCTATGTCCATGCGAGGAGACAGGAACATCTGTGCGGTACGTGGCACTGTTCCCCTCTTAGCTACATAATCAGATGGGGGCAGGGCGATGAATGGGTGCGTGGCTTCCCTGCTCTTGGGCAGGCTCTGAGATCTCGGCAGACAGAAATGAAAGCCTGGCAAACAGGGAGGCAGGAATGTTCAGGCGTCGGTGACCTCCATGTTCTGAAGCCGGTTTTCCAGGGTGACGTCTCTTGCTTTCTTTTTGCTGCCCTCATGTTGCTTCTTCTGTTTCTTTGATGGCTCCTGGTCAATGGGCGCAGGCTTCACAAAGGGGATCAGTTCTTGCAGTCCTGGTGGCATGAACTCCTTCAATTTCTCAGGCACAGTGATGCCCTTCTCTGTCTGGTAGTTCTCCAGGATGGCGCAGATGGTACGGGTAGTGGCGCACATGGTAGCATTGAGCATATGGACAAACTCCACCTTGTCCATCATCTTCTTGGTTTGCCCATATCGGATTCGAAGCCGGCGAGCCTGGTAATCCGTGCAATTAGAACACGAGACCAACTCACAGAAGGCTCCTGAGCCCGGAAACCAGGCCTCCAGGTCAAGCTTCTTACTGGCAGCGTGATTCAAAGAACCTGAGACAATATTCACAATGTGGTAAGGAATCCCCAGGGACTGGTAGAACTCCTCTGCGGTGGTAATCATCTCTTCAAACATCTCCCAGGACTTGTTGTCATGGGGTGATGAGTATACAAACTGTTCAATCTTCTCAAACTGATGGACTCGGAAGATGCCACGGGTGTCACGGCCATGGGAGCCCACCTCCTGGCGGAAGCAGGTGGACAGACCAGCGTACTTGATGGGCAGGTCCTCCGGCCGGAGCCACTCATCCCGGTGCAGAGCCGCAATGGGCTGCTCTGAGATGGCAATCAGGTACTTCTCATCATAGGAGTTGTCATCAGACTTTTCACTGCCTTTGCCAATCACCTTATAAAGTTCTTCATCAAACTGGCTGAGCTGTGCCACCTCCTGCATGACCTCTTTCCTCATGAAAAAGGGGGTATAAATGGGAGTGTAGCCCCGACTTCCCAAGGTGCGAAGAGCATACTGAATGAGAGCCTGTTCCAGGAACACCAGGACCCCCTTCAAGAAGTACCCTCGACTCCCAGCCACCACGGCCCCCTTTTCGCCTTCAAAGCCATCTACCATCACCACCAGGTCCACATGAGAGTACTTCTTCCTGACGGAACAATCACCCCAAATCCTCTCTACTTTGTTGTCTGCATCCTCATCGTTACTGATGGGCACAGAAGGGTGCAGAAGGTTCCCGATCTCTCGAAGGTTCTCAAACCGCTCTGCTTCCAGCTTTATCCGCTCAGCGTCACACTTCAGGATGGCTTCATCAATGAGGAGTCGGACTTTTTTGATTTGTGAGACTTTCAGGTTAGCTAAAGTGTCTGCAGTAAGGTCATCGAAATTCAGTACATTCTCCGGGATGGAGTCATCATCTCCCACTGGCTCTTTTTTCTTCATTTTCTCTCCAATTGTCTTGCTGCATAGGTTCTTCAGTTTGTTCAAGTTGTCTGCCCGAAATCTACATCGTCGCCACTCGCTGTCTGCCTTCACCAGCTGGTCCACTAGTCCCGGGTCCTTGAAGCGTTTCTCTTGCGTCTCTCGGATGAGGGCTGGGTCCCCTCCTTTATCCACCCGAAACAAATCCAGATCCAGCACCATCTTCTTTCCTCCCGGGCCAACACTCTCATGAATTTTTTTTTTTTTTTTAAGGTCTGTGTTCTTTCCCGTTTTTTTTTTAAATTGTACTTTAGGTTCTGGGGTACATTACATGAATATTTTTTAAAAGGGTGGTACCAAAGAGCTGGAGGATTTGGGGACATCTGGCTGATACAAATAAATAAGAAAATGCCTATCATGAAAAGATGTTATATTTTCTCCAGTGGCAATTTCTTGAGGAGCTACCTTGATTTTGAGGAAAAATGAAGAGGAGAAAGGTGAAAGGGCAAAGGTGAAATGGGCAGGGAAGAGTCTACTCTGGGTGGTGTTTTGGTGAGCAGGCTGTGGATGGGGTGTGTAAGAGTGAAAGTTTATCACACTGAGAAAGGGCCTCTTTGCCTAAACTAATGTTGAACCTGGTTTATTGCTAAAATGTGGTCACATCATGCTTCATTAACAGTTACATTAAAATATAAGAAGACAATAACAGAACCTGAGTTTGGTTTCAGTTTTTCAATATCCCAAAATTTTAATACAAATTTTACCTGGAGCCACAGATGCCAAACCTGAAGAAAACAACAACAACAACAAAAATTATCACAGCAAAGGATAATTTTTAATTGGGAAAAATGAATACTATATCAATATACTATACATATGTCATGAAAACCACAGTACCTTATTTCTGTTTTCTTTGGTAATATAATTTTTCTATTATAAAAATAGATTTACCTTGAATTGTAGAATGTCCAGCTGCTAAAACAAAACAAAAAATTCACTATAGCAAAGAGATCACTTTGATTTGAATAAAATATGCACAAATTATTGAATTTCAGACTAGCACAACTTAATAGTTAGAAGCATTACTAAAATGCAAAAGGCAGAGCCTATCCCTGAATAAGAGTAAACTGAAGTAACAATGATAGTTGGCTAAATGTGTTTTTGTAGATTTTAAAAAGATAAAAGGAGGTTGAGCGCAGTGGCTCACGCCTGTTTATCCCAGCGCTTTGGGAGGCTGAGGCGTGAGATCACTTGAGGTCAGGAGTCAGAGACCATCCTGGCCAACATGGTGAAACCCCGTCTCTACTAAAAATACAAAAATTAGCTGAGCATGGTGGTGAGTGCCTATAATTCCAGCTACTCCAGAGGCAGAGGCACGGGAATGGTTTGAACCCAGGAGGCAGAGGTTGCAGTGAGCCAAAATCATGCCGCCTCACTCCAGCCTGGGCAACAGAGCAAGACTCTGTCTCAAATAAACAAACACACAAAAAAGATAAAAGGAAACCACAGTATGTCATCTTACTTTGATTTTTAATACTGCGTAACAAAATTTTCAAACACGTCAATTTCACCATGTCTAGGAAACAGTTTTAACTTGAACTTTAAAAGCAGCTTAGTATATAGATGCATTTAGATACATATTCAACAAGAAACTTACTATCTTATTATATAAAATTTATAACTATTTTTAACTTATATTAGATAAAGGACAGCTTATAAAAGATAAATTCCATGAAGATCTAATACAAACCTCCCTTGATTTAGTGATTCTGACCTGGCCACTTAAAGAAGAAGTCAAAATATATAAAGTTTATTTTGCATCTCTGCTCTCACTTGCACTTTTTTAGAGAGGGAAAAAATAGAACCATTACTGAAATACAAAAGGCAGAGCTCATTCTAAAGAGGGGTAAACAGAAATAACAATGACTAAATGTATTTTTGATACAGATTCAAGAAATCAATGTGAAAACAAGATTTACATTATAGTTACTCTCGCAGTAAGATTTTTTTCTCATAAACTAATAAATTATGATCCTTGACCTTAAACTTCAGAGTTTTAAATTTAGGGAAGGAGAAGGCCAAGAATAAGAGGAGGAAGAATAAAAAAAACACCAAAGTATTATTTTACTGAAGAACTCAAACTGTAGAGCTTCACTGGCAAAAGTCATGCAGTGACTTTTGTCCTCCTGGCTGAAAAATTTTTCTTCCTTCTTCTCAAGGATTGAACTAAATGTAATGACCATAAAAGCGCTTTTGCTCAACTGCTTATAAAGCCTTCAGCAGAAATAATATGATTTAAAATTCTAAAATGTGTATTCTTTAAGAACTGATATCAATGGAAAATTAAACAAAATTTCACTGAAGTCTAATGAACTCTACTGAAGTGGGATATAAACTCACCCACTCCTCCTACAGCCTTCCCATCCTCGTGGCTAGCCGCTCCCTTTCCATTCTCAGGCCAAAACCTGGCAGCCATCCCTGACTGCTCATTTGCTTTCCTACCCTACCCTACCCAGTCTATTAGCAAATCTTGTTGGTTCTGCCTTCAAAATATGTCCCGAATCTGACTGCTTCTCCTCATTTCCATTTCTACCAACTTGCCCTAGTCATCCTCACGCCTTCCTTGAATGACCGTGGTAGTTTCCTGATGGGTGTCCTAGCTTCTCTCCTTGCCCTTATACAGCCTGTCCCACAGCCAGCACAGTCTCTGTCTCTTGTTTTTTTCTTTTCTTTCTTTTTTTTTTTTCAGAGTCTCTGTTGCCCAGGCTGGAGTGCAGTGACGTGATCTTTGCTAACTGCAACCTCCACCTCCTGGGTTCAAGTGATTCTTCTGCCTCAGCTTCCCAAGTAGCTGGGATTACAGTTGTGTGCTGCCACACCTAGCTACTTTTTGTATTTTTAGTAGAGACAGAGTTTCACCATGTTGGCCAGACTGGTCTCAAACTCCAGACCTCAGGTGATCAGCCCGCCTGGGCCTCCCAAAGTACTGGGATTACAGGCGTGAGCCACCGTACCCAGCTGCAATCTCGATTTAAAGTGAGTCAGATCATGTCACTCCTCTGCTCAAAGCCATGGAGTGGCTTCCCATTTCAGTTGTTAGCAGGCCTTACTTGACCTGCCCTGACACTTCCAGCCCCTATCCCTCTAGCCTCTCCTGCTGTTTGTCCCTTAATGTCTCACTACCACCACTGGTAATGACTGTCACACTAACCACCTTACTGCTCGTTTCTCAAATAGCAAGAATTCCAGGCTATTGCCTCTGCCTGGAACTCAGTTTTGCAGACATCTGCATGGCTGGCTCCATCATTTCTTCAGATCATTATGTAAAAGTAGCCTCAGTGAGAGAGGCTTTCCCAGGACACTTTACCTAAACTTCAAAACTTACCCTACACATTTTTTTTTTTTGAGACAGAGTTTCGGTCTTGTTACCCAGGCTGGAGTGCAATGGCACGATCTCGGCTCACCGCAACCTCCGCCTCCTAGGTTCAGGCAATTCTCCTGCCTCAGCCTCCTGAGTAGCTGGGATTACAGGCACGTGCCACCATGCCCAGATAATTTTTTGTATTTTTAGTAAAGACAGGGTTTCACCATGTTGACCAGGATGGTCTCGATCTCTTGACCTCGTGATCCATCCGCCTCGGCCTCCCAAAGTGCTAGGATTACAGGCGTGAGCCACCGTGCCCGGCCTACCCTACACATTTTATACCTTCGTCCTTGCTTCATTTTTCTTCTTAGTACTTGTTATTTTACTTATTTCTTCTATGTATTGCCTTTCTTCCACCACTAGAATGTAAGATTAGTGAATGGGCAGGGATTTAAAAAAAAAAAAACTAATTTATTTTATTTTATTTTATTGGTTTTTGAGACAGAGTCTCACTCTGTCACCCAGGCTGGAGTGCAGTGGTACAATCGTGGCTCACTATAACCTCCACTTCCCAGGTTCAAGTGATCCTCCAGCCTCAGCCCCTCAAGTAGCTGGGATTACACGCATACACCACCATGCCCAGTTAATTTTTGCATTTTTGGTAGAGATAGGGTTTTGCCATGTTTACCAGGCTGGTCTTGAACTCCTGACCTCAACTGATCTGCCTGCCTCAGCCTTCCAAATTGTTGGATTACAGGCCTCAGCCACCGTGCCTGGCCAGAGGAGGGATTTTTGAAATGTTATTCACTAATGAAACCCCAGCATCTAGAACAGGTACTGGCATACATAGTAGCAACTGAATAAATATTCATCGAGTAAATGAATGAATATAATAACTTAGAGATTTTTCCTCCAGAAAGCATTAATGGAAGCAGAGTCAGTCTGTGTAGCCTAGAATAGTTGCTTAAGAAATATTTTTCACCATTGGAGGTTATCCAGAGCACGAAATCATTGCTTTGAAACTTGGTAAGTAAAAGGAAAGAATTAAGCATTATTCTGTCTTTCTCTAGGTTTCTAGTTAATAAGTCCAGAAGGCATGATAAAATTAGAAACTGCCGTTTCACAGCCCCTATTGACAAAATGGATGTAGGCAACAATTTAAAAGGCTGCTAAAACCATTAGGAAAAAGATTGTGGGGGCACTTTTAAATGGACACACCAACCTGATCAAGTAATCATCTTAGCAGCACTAGAAGGACGGCCAGACAAGAAGACATTATGTGTAATAGGAAATACATACAAGACTCATCAAGAATTCTTGCCTAAGGCCGGGCACAGTGGCTCACACCTGTAAGCCAGCACTTTAGGGCACCAAGGCAGGCAGATCACTTGAGGCCAGGAGTTCAAGACATGGCGAAACCATGTCTCTACTAAAAATAGAAAAATTAGCCAAGTGTGACGGCACATGCCTGTAATTCCAGCTCCTCAGGAGGCTGAGGCAGGAGAATCACTTGAACCCAGGAGGTGGAGGTTGCAGTGAACCGACGTTGTACTACTGCACTCCAGCCTAGACAACGGAGCAAGACTCTGTCTCAAAAAGAGAAAATAAAAAGAATTCTTGCCTAAAATATGAAACCTTGCTCTTTAAAAAAAAAAAAAATTGTCACTGACTCAAAGCTCAAAACCTTGCTTATAATCAAATCTCTCTAAATCCAGAATAAGGAGCATCCAATAGGAAAAAAAAAATTAATTGTATGAAAAAAATTAGGGTGTGGAGGAGGGGAAGATAACTCTTAATGAATAAAGAGGACTTTAAAAGCTTAATAAGCAAAGAGAACATTCAGATTCTTTTAGATCCTGATTTGAATGCATTCGTTCAAAAAAGACATTTTTGGGATAGTT